TACGGTATCATTGTTCCTGTAACTTCCTGCAAGTTCGTGTAAAATTCTATAAGTTTGTGGAGGACTGGAAGAGAGCTAATATTTTGCAGAGTCTTCTTCGCTTTCTATAAATCTTTTAAGCGCTGAGACATAGAATTTATAAAATTCGGTAATGGTTCTGCTTCGATAACATTGCGCCAAACTCTCTAGAACTCAATTCGACTAAAGAGATGCATTGGCAGTCAGATTTGCGAGCTAGGCCTTCATGATATGTCAAAGGCCCACGATTGGATTTCCATTTCCCTCTTATGAAGAACAAAGTTTATTTCCGCAACAACTTTTTAAAATGTTGTTCTTCGGAATCTGGTACCATTCGTTACATTTTCCAAACTTTCCTTTTATCTGTCTGTATTTCAATGTCCTAAACTGAATTTACAAAATCATACATAAGCAAACGTCAAATATTTAAAAATGTGAACGTCAAACATATCTCGTTGTAGCGTGGAGACAGTTGTGATTTAGCAACAGGATTCATTAAGTCTTAATAGATAAATCCCTCAATGGAGATATGGTATAAACTTAAAACTGTTAAAATATTTACATAAAAATTTAACAAAATATATTTTCAGTCTTATATAAAAAATTTACATAAATACTAATAAAATGCAAGAAAATATTAATTCACACTTAAATCTAAAAATATTTACACAAAACAAAACAAAATATCACTTCAATACATTCACAATAATAGTATGAAAATTAGTTATGGACGTATTCCAAAAGTTTTTCAAAAATTGCAGATTGACGTTCCACAGCAGCAAATAATTTGGTTGTAGCATCCACCTGTATCATTGATGATTCTGCCTTTTTTTGCAGCCTCAGTCTACACTTTATCGGCTTCTGCTGGGCTTTGGCAGATTCAACCACTGTCTCTTACGCTACGCGCACACTGCAGCCGGAATCGGCCGAATTGTGCTCGGCCGATATCGGCTATATGCGGGCGATATGAACAAACACTTATTATTATATGAGCGCCCTCACACATAAACCGATAACCGAACCGATACCTGTCGTTAACGTCCGTCAGTGACGATAAATTCAAACATGTTTTTTTTCTCGTCCGATGTCAAGTGAAAAGTACCAAAATGGGCTGCGAAAAATTAACTTATTGAGTGCAAAAACAAAAAAATTACATATAAATAAAATCACATGTTTGGGGTATGTCAATTAAAATGTATCAAAATATTCCACTGCTTAAAAACATTTTAATGAAAACTAGAGTTGTGTGAACAAATACGGTCGGCAAATAATCTGGTTAAGTGTGCGCATCAGTTCGGACGGTCAAATTGTTCGGCCGAAATCGGTCGGCCTATCGGATTCAATGTGCGCCTAGCGTTAGAAGGTGCACTTCCTATTCGTGGAACGTAACATATGCGTCTGGTAGATTGGCTGTATAGTGTGAATCACTACTCCCACTGGTGGTAGTTGGTTGTGCCTTATAGCAGATTGAAGGGTTGTTGGTTGATCAAGTGTGGGCATTTCCTCAATCGACAAATGTCTTGAAATTTTAGAGGTCGCCGTCGAAGGAATGCCGATGTTATGTACGCCCGAATTGTGCTGAGTTCATTTGCAGACTGACTGCAATGCGTTTATTTCATATTCACTTAAGATTGAAATTTCATTACATTTGTGTGTGTGTATGACACCTCTCCCTGACTTATTTAAATGAAATAGTATTAGAAGACAATCTAAATACAATATGAGAATCGAATATTCAATTTAGTACATTACATATATGTGCAAATGTACGTAGATACATATGTATTCATTCTATATACTTATGAGTTATAAATTTAATCTCTCAGGAGGTTTCCGTGTACGTTTGGAACGACGAATCGCTTCTTCGTTGGCGGGATCACTCTCCATAGCAATGTGTTTTTCTACTCTGCTTTCATTTAGTTGTTGTGGATTTGTGGCGTTTGTCGTTTGTGGTTGTGTGGCTGTACTTTCCGTATTAGCATTTGTTACTGCTGGCCTCCGCAGGTTTATGAGGAATTTGAGGATCATCTGAACATGGTTTTTGTTGCTGAATTGACTCGTCTACATTTGCTTGCCTTGGCAGTTGTGAACCTACTTTTCGCATTTGATCAACGTGCCTTTTCCACAACCGATTGTCCTCTAACACCACGTTATAATGCAATTGGCCTGCGGTTCAACTACCTTACCAAATCGCAATTTCTCGCTGGCTAAATAATCCCGTACAGCAACTCTTCCTCCCACTGCAAATGTTTTACTGGGACGCACATATTCCGTATTCTCTGTAGTAGTTAGTGGAAGCATCAAGTCTAGGCGCGATTGGATTTGACACCCGAACATCATCATCGTGGTGACTTTTTAGTTGCTGGATGCATCTCTCGGCGATAAGCCATTAAGACTGTAGAAAGTGAGTGTATGGTGCAACGACTTTTGCTGACATCCCTTGGCTTTTAACTTGTTTTTAATCGTTTGTGCGAATCGCTCTGCCCGCCCATTTGTTGTTGGATGGTAAGGCGCACCCTGCTTAGGGACAATACCATTGTTTTTTTTTTGAGTCTAAATAGCTTTGGATTTGTAAGCAGGGGAAAAAACAGAATTGTATTGAACTTTGGTTTGGAAAGACGCAATTCAGCGATCGAACTATAAAATAAATTATTAAAATACATAATTTTGCAGCAATTGGTGGCAGCGGTGGGATTGCGTCACTTCCAAAGAGATTTAGCTGAAAGGAAATCATAATGGTTAAATTTGAGCAACTGAAGTTAGATAAGTTGAAGAAGGAGCTAGCCTCGTTGGAACTTTCTACTACGGGCTCAAAGGCGGAGCTACAACAGCGTTTACGGGAGGTATGTGAGATGCGGAGCATGGATTTAGCAGCGCACGAGTTTGTACAGCAGGGATTTGAGTCATCTGCAACGGAGGAAGCGATCATGCCAATCACTTAAACAGCAATAGGCGTCGACATGATCCAGTTATTGGCGGTTATGGAGAACGTGATGAGTCAACAGCAGCAATTAGGGCAGCAGTTAAATGAGAATTCCGCCAACCTGGAGCGTCGACTACAAAATAACTTAATAAATCTGGAGCAGCTTACAGAGGGTTTGGCAAGCTATTCGACACAGCTGAACGAGAAGTTTGGAAGTTTGAAGGAATCAGTTGGTGGCCTAGATAAACGAGTAGAGGATCTCGAAAGGTCCATGGCTGCGGAAATTGATGAACGCTTAGATAAACGAGTAGAAGATCTTGAGAAAATGGTTAATGAACGTCTAGAGCGGAACTATTCAGCAAATTCGTGAGACTTCAGTTAAATTAAAGTCACTAACTTATGACGGTACTACGACGCTCAGTATTTTCAGTGTGCAATTTGAGACGACAGAAATCCAAAATGTATGGACGGAACAGGAGAAAGCAGCAGCATTAATAGTGACCTTGAAGGGTGGAGCAGCGTAAGTTTTACGGACAGTGCCAGAACGTTTGAGAAGCAGCTATGAAGCAATTATGGGCGCGGTGACAAGGAAGTACGGCAGTGAGCATCGAAAGCAGCTTTATTACATGGAGTTGCAAAATCGGCGACAGAGAAGTGGCGAGTCGTTGCAGGAGTATGCTGCTGATATTGAACGCCTGGTTCAATTAGCACACTATGATGTAGGGATAGATCTGATGGAGCAAATGAAAACACGTGCGTTCATGAAAGCGATTCGTGATGTGGAGGTGCGGCGTAGCGTGCCATTGGTAAGCAAGTCTACATTCACTGAAACTGTGGCGCATGCTTTGACATATGAAGCAGCCTGGACAGGAGTAACCCATTATGTTGCTCCAAGAGTGCGCAAGGTAGAATTTAGTTGTGAGGAGGAGCAATCTGTGGTAGAAAACTCATCTCGTAAACCACGAGCAGCAAATTTTAAAGGCAGCTGCTATGTGTGCGACAAGCCGGGGCATATTGCTCGCGATTGCGGACTGCGCAGGAAGCGTACTGAATCATTGTCACCAGTGAACCACGAACTTCGGGGACAGCGAATGGCTGAGCAACAGCCTTCGTTAAACTAACACGTTTCAGTATAAAGGGGCATACACCGACCCTCACAGCCAATTGCCCCAGTATCCTCATATCAGAGATGAAACGAGTGCCGGGTAATTTGACCATTGAAGGAGTAATGGATGACAAGGCGTACATGTTGACAGTGGACACTGGAGCGTCGCACTCAATTATTAAAAGTGAGTTAGTGCATAGCTATGTGCCGCTAAGGGGTGTGCAGTTGAGAGCAGCAACCGGCGAGCACGCATTTGTGCGTGGAAAGGTCATGAAGAGCGTTATCATTGGCAGTTTTAAAATAAAGCATGAATTCATAATAGCGGATATAATGGATGATGTGATTATTGGTATGGACTTCATGACTCTGAATGGTTTCATGCTGGACTTGCGAAGAAAGGTGCGGATTTATACAAATGTAAACTTTCCACTTAATACAGGTTACAACAAAAGCACTTGTGTCCGATGATTGACTGCGTGTCGACGTCAGACGATTCCAGCTAATTCTGAGGCGATAATATGGGCGAAGACAAATGGGGACGATGGGATAAACCGGCTGTGGATTGTAGAAGCAGATCAGCGAAAACCAAATACGACATTTTTAATCGGAAATTCTTTGGTCGAGCCTCAATGTGGGAAAATTCCAGTAAGAGTGCTCAATCTATTTAATACATCTCAGATGATAAAGAAGGGAGCCATCGTTGCGGTTGGCCAAGAAGTCGAGGCAGTGGTAAATTGCGAGAGTGATGCAGGGGTGAGTAATAATGAGAACAGTGAAGCATTAGTAAATTTAGAGAGTGATGCAGAGGTGCATAGTAATGACACTGGTGAAGCAGTGCGAAACACACAACTGGAAAAGTGGACGGCAGGTTTGACTGAAGGGCAAAGGGTTGAAGCTCGAACACTCCTACGGAGCTTTTGGTCGATTTTTGACAGAAGTACCCGTGGAAGAACTATGGTTGTCAAGCATCACATTGACACTGGCAATGTGAAACCTATCCACGAATCACCGCGGAGAGTTCCATTGGCTAGAAGAGAGGAAGTAACTAAATTGATCACAGATATGCAGGAAGAAGGAGTTATTGAACCTTCTGCTAGTCCCTGGAGCTCCCCAGTAGTTTTAGTCAAGAAAAAGGATGATAGTACCCGATTCTGTGTGGATTATCGGAAACTGAGTGATATAACAAAGAAAGATAGCTACCCGTTACGTAGGATTGATGATACGCTCGATACACTATCTGATGCGAAATGGTTCTCTACATTAGATTTACGAAGTGGTTATTGGCAAGTGGAACTTGGAAGCGAAGATAAAGAGAAGACTGCGTTTAGCGTTGGCGATGGTTTATGGCAGTTTACAGTGATGCCGTTTGGTCTCTGTAATGCACCTGCTACTTTTGAGCGGCTTATGGAACGTGTGTTGAAAGGGTTGCATTGGAAGACTTGTCTGGTGTATCTTGACGACATCATAGTGATTGGAAAGAACTTCAAGGATCACCTGCATAAGCTAAGATAGGTATTTGAACGCTTGCAGACAGCTGGCCTAAGGCTGAATTCTGAGAAATGCTCGTTTTTCCGGAAGGAGGCTAAATACTTGGGCCATAAAGTGACAACGGAAGGGGTACACACTGATGAAGACAAGATTGTAGCAGTAAAGGCGTGGCCGCAACCGAAAAATTTGAATGAACTACGCAGTTTTTTGGGTCTATGCACATATTATAGACGCTTCGTACATAGATTTGCTGACATCGCGAGTAGTTTGCACAAACTAACAAAGAAGAACCAAGTATTTGAGTGGGGTTCTGAGCAGGAAGAGGCTTTCATGCAGTTAAAAAATCGATTATGTACGGCACCAATTTTGGTTTATCCCATTCCTGGACAAAAGTTTGTGCTAGATACGGATGCTAGACGGAAAAGAGAAGGTGATCGCTTATTACAGCAAAATCTTATCAAAGCAAGAACAAAACTATTGTGTAACTCAAAGAGAGTTAATGGCGGTCTTGGAAAGCGTGAAGCACTTCCATAAATATTTGTATGGGCAACAGATCCTGTTGAGGACAGATCACGCGGCGTTTCGATAGTTGCTGCAGTTTAAAGATCCAGCAGGACAAATAGCGCGATGGATAGAGCGACTACAAAGTTATGATTTCGTAATTGAACATCGTAAAGGAAGCAGCCACGGAAACGCCGATGCGTTGTCATGACGTCCATGCAGAACGGAATGCAAGCACTGCTCTCGAGTGGAAAGTGAGGAGTATGTAGTGGATGTGCGATTGTTGGGTGTGCTATCAGAGGAGAACTGGACGACGGAGCGAATACAAGAGGACCAACACAATGACGCGGATCTTGCGAAGATCGTAGAAGGCAAAGGGATTGGAGTGCGTCCGGGTTGGTAGGATATGGCTGGTGAGAGTCCTTTGGCCAAGGCGTATTGGGCACATTGGAGTCTGTGCTTGAAGGATGGAAGTCTGTATCGCATGTGGGAGAGCGAAGATGGTAAAACTAAACATGATCTGCTTGTAGTGCCAAGAGCGCGAATAGGTAAGGTAATTAGAGAATTCCACAATAGTTCCAGTGGCGGTCATTTGGGAATCACAAAAACTGTCGAGAAGACCAAGCGGCGCTTCTATTAGGTAGGCTGTCAAGAATCGGTGGCGGATTGGATAAAGAGATGTGAACAATGTGCAGCGGCGAAGGGGCCAGCCAGACGGAGTCGTGGACGTATGCAGCAATACAATGTAGGGAGCCCATTTGCCATGGACATAGCCGGTCCGTTTCCTATTAGCAGCCATGTTTGGCTCAGATTTAAGATTGCCTGCCGATTTGACATTTGGAGTAGCACATTCACCCAGCTGATACCGAGTACGTTGCACATAAACAGAGTGAGTTATCTGAGCTGCACAGATTTATTCGAAACCACTTACAAGTGGTCAGCGATAAAATGAAAGCCAGATATGACCTAAGGGCGAACTCAACTGGATTTGCAGAGGGGGATTTAGTAATGCTCTACAATCCGAAAAAGAGAAAGGGTTTGTCACCTAAGTTGCAAATAGCATGGGAAGGACTATACAAGGTTATTACCAGACTAAATGATGTAGTCTACCGTATTCTACGACTTCGTGTGAGGAAAGCGAAGATGAAGGTAGTGCATCTGGAATGGCTGACAGCTTATCACCGAGAGGTCTCAGTATTTGTTCGGGACGAACAAGTTTAAGCGGTGGGCAGTGTTACGAAATTACTAAAGAAGATTCTTAAAACGTTACAATAATACACTGTAGCTATAACAAGTGCTTGGGAAATTATGGATACTACTAGAAATGAATTGATAAAAAAAAACAATGTTTGAGTCTAAATAGCTTTGGATTTGTAAGCAGGGGAAACAAAAAACAAAATTGTATTGAACTTTGGTTTGGAAAAACGCAATTCAGCGATCGAACTATAAAATAAATTATTAAAATACATAATTTTGTAGCAGTATTTTCCCATGAACGGGCCAGCATAATCTGCGTGAACTCTTTCAAAAACTTTATTTGGTGGCAACCAACAATGTACTGGCACCACAGTTGGATCCGGACGATTTGATTGACATGCCGTACAATTTTATACCAAGTCCTCGATGTCGTTGTCGAGTTGGTTCCACCAGCAACATGCGCGTGCTTACATTTTCGGTTTGGTTATGCCAAAATATCTCGTGTGTAATTCCACAGTCCCTTCGGAATGAACACTCTCATCCCTCGGAGCAAACAACCTTTTTGCAAAGAAAATTCGGACTGGGCTATACCGAAACGAAATGACGGTTCACAATCGCGGCCATATTGTAAACATTCTATGAGCCTTTTCACTTCGTCCGCCTTCTTAGTTTACTCACTTAATTCGGTTACTGTTGCCGGCAAGTTTTCAATTACCTGCGTCTCGATGACGTCCAGCTCATCGATGTTTTCGTTGCAATTGGCGCACGACAGACACGATAGTGCATCAGCATTCGCATTTTCGCTACTTTTCTTTACGCATATATCGTACTCAAATGATCCTCAGTAAATTGCGTAATGCTGCATTGTTGTCGCAGAAAGGGTTTGCAGTCCCTTATGTGGCGAAAATGTCTAAACTATAGCTTTGTTGTTGGTGACTAAGATAAATTTCCGGCCAAATAAATATTGGTAGAATTTCCGCACACCAAATATAATAGCGTACGCCTCTCGATCCACTTGGCTATAACGTTGTTGAGTGTGATTCAACGCCTGCGACGCGAACTGTATAGGTTTCTATGTACCGTCTTTATAAACGTGGCTAAGTACTGCCCCCACCACAATTGGGCTCCCATCCACAGCTAGCACAATGGGTATCTGCGGATCATAGTGTGTTAACACTGTATCGGATTCCATTAGCTGTTTAATCGTGCTGAATGATTTCTTACAATCCGCGTCAAAATGAACGGTATGTCTTTGCGTAGTAATCTATTGAGCGGGTACACCACCGTGCTCAAGTTTCTTATGAATCGCCCATAATAATTTACAGTACCTAGAAATGATTTTACCTCATCTTTAGTCGTTGGCTGTTTCATATTGCGAATGGCATCTACCTTACTACTCATCTTACGTATTCCACCTTTATCGATAACATAGCCGCAATACTCAATGCTTTCTTGTAAAAATTCCAACTTTTGCAGATTCACTCGCATGTTATGCTGATCGAGTCTGCGCAATACTTCTTCTATTCTTTGTAGGTGCGTAACGTTGTCCTTGGCAGTGATTCTGATGTCATCCAAAAAGACTTTAGCTCCCGGCAAGTCGCCTAACAGCTGCTCCATAAACCGCTGCCACTTTGCTGGCGCCGACGCGATACCAAACATCATTCTTGTCGGTTGATACAAGTCTTTGTGCGCATTGAGGGTTAACAAGTGTCTATCGTGTGTATGGATCTCTTATTGCAGATATGCTTTCGATAAGTCTATTTTAGAAAATTTGTTTCCCCCCGCCATTGAGCTAAATAACTCATCGATTGTCGGGAGCGGGTGTTCATCTACAACCAACTCAGGATTTAAAGTGACCTTATAGTCACCTCATAATCTTACAGTCCTATCTTTTTTGGGAACAACCACCATCGGTGTGGCCCACTCGCTTTTTTCTACCTTAACCAACAAACCTTCCTCCACTTGATTTTCTAATTCCCTTTCAACTGCGCTCATCAATGGAAAGGCCACCCGCCTGGGCTTAATAAATTTCGGCGTGGGGCTCTGCTTTAAATACAATAGGGCTTGGTGCCCTGTAATCTTACGTTTGAAGAAGTACTTAATTATTCTTTTATTATTTGCGGCCAATTCAATGGAATCTCTCGAAGCCATTCTCTACCAAGGAGGGGATTGCGATCATCTCGAACGATGTACATTTTCTCCCGCTTTGATACCACCGTGACCCACACGATACCCAAACAGTCCAACGGAGTTTTACAATAGCTAACAAATTGTGTATCAGTCGGTTTTACTTTACAGTGCCCAAAATGCTTTTTGGCGTCGGCCAAACTTATTATTGTTACCGGAGCGCCGGTGTCGATTTCAAACAACATCATCAGGCCATTTATGGCTACCATGCTCATTATTTTCTTTCGTTTCGATTCCGCATCTCCATTACCGCCCCCGCTCACTTTGAACAACTCCTCCATAACTTTTTCTTGTGTTATTTGATTTAGCGTTCTCTTTCTTTTAAAGCACATTTTCCTCAAATGACCTTTCTTCTTACAGCAATGACAAATTGCCTCTTTATATTTACATTCGTTTGCCTCGTGGGAAGTGTTCCCACATCGAAAACAACTCTTCTCTTTACCTTCTGATTTTTTTTTCTCTTTCTTTGCGCAGTTTTGTGTTCTGTCTTTGCTTTGCTTCTCCTCCTTCCTGTAGTTAAGCTTATTAACTTCACCTAAAGGTACCTACCTGTTTTCGCAGTTCACCTCCTTCTCTTTCTGCTAATTCATATCCACATGCTATTTGAATTGCGTCGACCAAGGTTAAAACTTTTTTTCCAGCAATCTGCTTTGGATCTTCGGGTTATGCAAACCAAAAAAAAAATTGATTCCGTAATACGTTATCCGCCACCAAAAACTCAGAACACGTCAATGAAACCTATAATTTTCTAGGATTTCATTGTGCTGGGGATTGAAGTGCTCTTCTAGCAACTTCACGATCGCCTCGTATTCCATATTTTCCGGTGTATTCGGCAATGCTTTATCACACAGTATATCATACACTGCTGTACCAATATAGTGCAGCAAAAATTAGTCGTTTTTTTGCGGCATCTGCTTCAAATATTTCTAACGCCATTTCAAACCTCTTGACCCAACGACTCCAAGTAGTAATTTTTGCATCGAATGAGTCAAAATGAAACGATGTACTTGCCATTTAGACTGCTGTCTTCACCGATTCTGCTATTATATGTGAAACCACGTATGAGTGTCATTTTCGTACTACTCGTCGCCAGAATTGTTATATACGCCCGAATTGTACTGAGTTCATTTGCAGACTGC